ATTTTGACAATCTGCAAGGAACTGGGCCAGATGAGTGCGATGATCAGAAGCTGAACATTTTGTATCAGGATCGCAGAAGTGGCGAGAGGTGTGGATGTCGATAATTTGATTTCCCGCCAATTTAATATCAGGAACAAAGCACCGTTTCATATACCTCCTCGCGTTTCTGTGATCCTGGTAGCAATTTCATATCCTTTCATTTTGACAATCTGCAAGGAACTGGGCCAGATGAGTGCGATGATCAGAAGCTGAACATTTTGTATCAGGATCGCAGAAGTGGCGAGAGGTGTGGATGTCGATAATTTGAATTTCCCGCCAATTTAATATCAGGAGCAAAGCACCGTTTCATATACCTCCTCGCGTTTCTGTGATCCTGGTAGCAATTTCATATCCTTTCATTTTGACAATCTGCAAGGAACGTGGCCAGATGAGTGCGATGATCAGAAGCTGAACATTTTGTATCAGGATCGCAGAAGTGGCGAGAGGTGTGGATGTCGATAATTTGAATTTCCCGCCAATTTAATATCAGGAACAAAGCACCGTTTCATATACCTCCTCGCGTTTCTGTGATCCTGGTAGCAATTTCATACCCTTTCATTTTGACAATCTGCAAGGAACTTGGCCAGATGAGTGCGATGATCAGAAGCTGAACATTTTGTATCAGGATCGCAGAAGTGGCGAGAGGTGTGGATGTCGATAATTTGAATTTCCCGCCAATTTAATATCAGGAACAAAGCACCGTTTCATATACCTCCTCGCGTTTCTGTGATCCTGGTAGCAATTTCATACCCTTTCATTTTGACAATCTGCAAGGAACGTGGCCAGATGAGTGCGATGATCAGAAGCTGAACATTTTGTATCAGGATCGCAGAAGTGGCGAGAGGTGTGGATGTCGATAATTTGAATTTCCCGCCAATTTTATATCAGGAACAAAGCACCGTTTCATATACCTCCTCGCGTTTCTGTGATCCTGGTAGCAATTTCATATCCTTTCATTTTGACAATCTGCAAGGAACTGGGCCAGATGAGTGCGATGATCAGAAGCTGAACATTTTGTATCAGGATCGCAGAAGTGGCGAGAGGTGTGGATGTCGATAATTTGAATTTCCCGCCAATTTATATCAGGAACAAAGCACCGTTTCATATACCTCCTCGCGTTTCTGTGATCCTGGTAGCAATTTCATATCCTTTCATTTTGACAATCTGCAAGGAACTTGGCCAGATGAGTGCGATGATCAGAAGCTGAACATTTTGTATCAGGATCGCAGAAGTGGCGAGAGGTGTGGATGTCGATAATTTGAATTTCCCGCCAATTTAATATCAGGAGCAAAGCACCGTTTCATATACCTCCTCGCGTTTCTGTGATCCTGGTAGCAATTTCATACCCTTTCATTTTGACAATCTGCAAGGAACTGGGCCAGATGAGTGCGATGATCAGAAGCTGAACATTTTGTATCAGGATCGCAGAAGTGGCGAGAGGTGTGGATGTCGATAATTTGAATTTCCCGCCAATTTAATATCAGGAACAAAGCACCGTTTCATATACCTCCTCGCGTTTCTGTGATCCTGGTAGCAATTTCATACCCTTTCATTTTGACAATCTGCAAGGAACTGGGCCAGATGAGTGCGATGATCAGAAGCTGAACATTTTGTATCAGGATCGCAGAAGTGGCGAGAGGTGTGGATGTCGATAATTTGAATTTCCCGCCAATTTAATATCAGGAGCAAAGCACCGTTTCATATACCTCCTCGCGTTTCTGTGATCCTGGTAGCAATTTCATACCCTTTCATTTTGACAATCTGCAAGGAACTGGGCCAGATGAGTGCGATGATCAGAAGCTGAACATTTTGTATCAGGATCGCAGAAGTGGCGAGAGGTGTGGATGTCGATAATTTGAATTTCCCGCCAATTTTATATCAGGAACAAAGCACCGTTTCATATACCTCCTCGCGTTTCTGTGATCCTGGTAGCAATTTCATATCCTTTCATTTTGACGATTTGCAAGGAACGTGGCCGATAAGTGCGATGATCAGAAACTGAACATTTTGTATCAGGATCGCAGAAGTGGCGAGAGGTGTGGAGGTCGATAATTCGAATTTCCCGCCAATTTTATATCAGGAACAAAGCACCTGTTTCATATACCTCCTCGCGTTTCTGTGATCCTGGTAGCAATTTCATATCCTTTCATTTTGACGATTTGCAAGGAACGTGGCCGATAAGTGCGATGATCAGAAACTGAACATTTTGTATCAGGATCGCAGAAGTGGCGAGAGGTGTGGAGGTCGATAATTCGAATTTCCCGCCAATTTTATATCAGGAACAAAGCACCGTTTCATATACCTCCTCGCGTTTCTGTGATCCTGGTAGCAATTTCATATCCTTTCATTTTGACGATTTGCAAGGAACGTGGCCGATAAGTGCGATGATCAGAAAATGAACATTTTGTATCAGGATCGCAGAAGTGGCGAGAGGTGTGGAGGTCGATAATTCGAATTTCCCGCCAATTTTATATCAGGAACAAAGCACTGTTTCAAATACCTCCTCGCGTTTCTGTGATCCTGGTAGCAATTTCATATCCTTTCATTTTGACGATTTGCAAGGAACGTGGCCGATAAGTGCGATGATCAGAAAATGAACATTTTGTATCAGGATCGCAGAAGTGGCGAGAGGTGTGGAGGTCGATAATTCGAATTTCCCGCCAATTTTATATCAGGAACAAAGCACTGTTTCATATACCTCCTCGCGTTTCTGTGATCCTGGTAGCAATTTCATATCCTTTCATTTTGACGATTTGCAAGGAACGTGGCCAGATGAGTGCGATGATCAGAAACTGAACATTTTGTATCAGGATCGCAGAAGTGGCGAGAGGTGTGGAGGTCGATAATTCGAATTTCCCGCCAATTTTATATCAGGAACAAAGCACCGTTTCATATACCTCCTCGCGTTTCTGTGATCCTGGTAGCAATTTCATATCCTTTCATTTTGACAATTTGCAAGGAACGTGGCCGATAAGTGCGATGATCAGAAACTGAACATTTTGTATCAGGATCGCAGAAGTGGCGAGAGGTGTGGAGGTCGATAATTCGAATTTCCCGCCAATTTTATATCAGGAACAAAGCACCTGTTTCATATACCTCCTCGCGTTTCTGTGATCCTGGTAGCAATTTCATATCCTTTCATTTTGACGATTTGCAAGGAACGTGGCCGATAAGTGCGATGATCAGAAACTGAACATTCTGTATCAGGATCGCAGAAGTGGCGAGAGGTGTGGAGGTCGATAATTCGAATTTCCCGCCAATTTTATATCAGGAACAAAGCACTGTTTCAATATACCTCCTCGCGTTTCTGTGATCCTGGTAGCAATTTCATATCCTTTCATTTTGACGATTTGCAAGGAACGTGGCCAGATGAGTGCGATGATCAGAAGTGAACATTTTGTATCAGGATCGCAGAAGTGGCGAGAGGTGTGGATGTCGATAATTTGAATTTCCCGCCAATTTAATATCAGGAGCAAAGCACCGTTTCATATACCTCCTCGCGTTTCTGTGATCCTGGTAGCAATTTCATACCCTTTCATTTTGACAATCTGCAAGGAACTGGGCCAGATGAGTGCGATGATCAGAAGCTGAACATTTTGTATCAGGATCGCAGAAGTGGCGAGAGGTGTGGATGTCGATAATTTGAATTTCCCGCCAATTTAATATCAGGAGCAAAGCACCGTTTCATATACCTCCTCGCGTTTCTGTGATCCTGGTAGCAATTTCATACCCTTTCATTTTGACAATCTGCAAGGAACTGGGCCAGATGAGTGCGATGATCAGAAGCTGAACATTTTGTATCAGGATCGCAGAAGTGGCGAGAGGTGTGGATGTCGATAATTTGAATTTCCCGCCAATTTAATATCAGGAACAAAGCACCGTTTCATATACCTCCTCGCGTGGCCAGATGTGCGAATGTCTGCCTCTAAGAAATTATGTATTAGGGTTGAAGAAATGGCAAGAGGTTTCGGCGTCGCAAATTTTGTATCTATACCTTGCGTTTCTGTGCTCCTGGTATTCACCAAATTGTCTTGACGATTCTGCAAGAAAGATTGTCATGCGAAGTTTTCTGCCTCTAAAAATTCTGTATCGGGATTACAGAAGTAGCAAAAAGTATCCTCGTCGCAAATTTGAGTTTCTAGCCAATTTCGTGTGAAGAGCACCATACGTTTCGTATACCTCCTCGCGTTTCTGCGATCCTGGTAGCAAATATTCGCCTATTCATTTTGACGATGTTGCAAGGTAGATTGTCAGATGCAAGATTTTCTCCCTCTAAAAATTCCGTATCAGGATAGCAGAAATTCCTCACATTTGTTTGATCCTGGTAGCTTATTTTTATCTTTCATTTCGACCATTTTTAATTCTTACGCATGTAACTCTGTCGAACTTCCTACGTCTAGAACCAATCTAGACAGTTTAAAAATAGGATTAACAGTGTGTACTTAAACTCATAGCAGTTGCAGTGCCTCTGAATTTAAACACTGATTAAGCTATTCCACTAATCAATGAATTAGATTTGTGACAGCTACATTAGTTTAAAACACAACTACTGATCGTGGATAAGTTGAGTCTCAATTTTGTCAATCCTAAGTGGATGAACTACAAATTATTATTTCTTTATTAAATACAGAATCCTTTGTTAGAGTTATGTTAATTCACTAAACGGCATCATCTATCTTCTACTATTGGAACCGCAATCCTATTCGTCTTGATTTCTTTTTCAGTCTATTTATCTTCTTGTCAGTCACAGCCACCCTTGTCTGTGATTAAACGGGGGTAACACTAGCTCGTTCTATTAATCAGATACGAAAAGAGGCGGGGTTTCAGGATTTATACATACCACGCCCCCTGTTCACCTCTCGTATTACCTTTAATTAGACATCTAAATCTTGTCAACGCACCAATTTATGAAATTTGAAAAGAGGGAGACAAAAAAGGATTTTATTGGAATAAATTATACATTTCAGTATTAAAATTATATTTCTAACAAAGTTGAATATCACTCTTGCTTATAAATATTCTTCCTCAAAACCCCTTTATCGAGTATTTCTAAAAACGTCCGTCTGGTCAAATCGCACAACTCCGCACTTTCTTGGGACGCGATTTCGAGCCCCTTCCCGAGATGAGCATCGAAGTGTGACGCTAGAGACGCCTGCGACTCGCAAATCCTGGCCAATTGCGTTAAAAGATTGATTATGTCGTCTGTGATTGGAGGAAAAGCTTCGCTCATTCTAACCAATGCTGGCAGCACAGGCTTGAATAGTTTCACTCTTTGGCTGCTTGAAAGACCTGCAAAAATTACAAGCACTGATTAACATATTTCACCAGAAGATACCCAAACAAATTGAAATACGAGCCTGCGCTAAATACCCTAACATCGGCTCCAAAATAATGTCTGTTATACAAGTTACAAGTTTCAATTTCGAATTCTAAGAAAAACAATTCTGAAATTTTGTTCACGGACTACTAACAGTATATCAACTACATCTAAATATGTTTGTGCCTACACCAGTGGAGTAGAGATTGTGTTATGTTGAGCATTTACAGACGAAATAACATTATTTTCTAATACACCACTGGCTTTTTCGAAATATTTTTGAATAAGGTATTTAATTTTACACGAATCGCCTCACTTGAGAAATTTGTTCGATTAACCTTTGGTTTTTTTGTCACAAGTGAAAACCGTATAAACCCGCCCTACTACTATAAAAATACACTGCAAATCGTGTAGCGATATTTAAATAATGTTTATGTTTTGTTCTTATTCAGTCTGAACAGTGGCGTTGTGGTGTACAAATTTACAGTATATTCAGATAAGAGATAGACCGGATGTAAACAAAAGGTTCGGGTGATTTTCACGCTAACGCCGCCGTCTCGACGTAAAACAGGAGCCCTCATTGGTCAATTCGCAATTAAATGCCTATGCCGAGCGGCAGAGCAGTCGTATCAAGGCAGAGTCACATTCAGGTTCAGACGTGTTACGTATGTCGTGTGCATCATTGCAATTTGATATTTCTTTGGACGTTTTCGTTTGTTATCTTATTAAGTTGTTGAGTTTGTCGTTGTTATTGTTATACCTTGTTATTGTTATCAACTGCTTGCGCAAAATGCCCAGTAGTACAGATACTGCCGATGAAGTTGTAAACTCCTGTAGTCCACCTAGGAAACGCTCTAAAAAAAGACACCTGAGTGCAGAAATGAAAGAGGTCATTTTGAATATATATAAGATCGAGCGCGAGGAAAACGAGGCATCAACCATCAAAGAAATTGTTGTGAAGGTTTCTCACAAAGCTGGGGTGTGTCGCGCATCAGTGTTTAATGGGTTAAGACAATACAAAAAAAATCACACCTTTTCTGAGCCAATGACCAGTAAACATCGCAAAAGTATTGTTAAATCATTGGATGAAGCAGATAAGCATGCGATTAGGAGGAAAGTGCATGAATTCTTCTTTAGGAATGAAATACCTACTATAGATAAAGTACTGCAGGAGGTAAATGGAGATACAACGTTGCCAAATTTCAAACGATCAACTTTCCATGCGTTACTGAAGCATTTAAATTTCAAATGGAAAAAACGGGGTCGTAATAGTTTACTACTGGATAGAGAAGAAATTGTGCTATGGAGGAGGGATTATTTAACAAAAATTGGAAAATATAGAAATCAAAACAGGAAGATTTATTACCTTGATGAAACGTGGGTAAACGCAGGACACACTACAAGTAAAGTATGGGTTGATGATTCTGTAACTTCATCCAGGAGGGCCTTTCTAGATGGACTGTCCACCGGATTAAAAAATCCAGCAGGTAAATACGAGTAATAGACAACAATCGGATGTTTTTCAAACCTTGGGAACAAGGTTCTAAACATTAATTCCAGGGGGCAGATAAAACATATTACAAGTAACAAAACTTTTATAACTTTCGATAAAATGCGTGGATGTTTTATTGTCATTTTCATTTGTTAGAACTTTTTTAAGCCATGTTTTTATGTGTTTTCGATATTTCAATAATTTTTTAATATAATCTTAAAATATGTCGAATATTATAAACTTAAAAAAAGTTACTAAGTTTTATATTGTGTACCGTTCCTAATATTTCTAATCATTTTAATTCATACTTTAAGCTTTATAAAGTTATAATTTGTTAATATTAATATTTGCGCGTATTTCAGGTTCCTGATCATTCATTTTTTAAAGGTTTATAACTTTAAATTAAATTGTGAAGCGCTGAGTAATCATACGACGTTCAATATTCTTTCTTTCAATATGACTAAATAATCCCATTTATAGCAATCTGATACTCATGTCTCAATGTTTTTTCGCTGAATGTGATGAAAACATTTGAAAAAGGTTCGCTTATTGAAATAAATCTACATCAGTTAGTACTTCGATTTCCAGGTAAAGGGAAAAGGCTCATTGCCATATTGGCAGTGAGGATGGATTTGTTGTTGACGGTCTGTGGTGCTTTGAGTCTAAGAAAACTGGAGATTACCACGAGGAAATGAATGGCGAATCGTTTGAACAGTGGTTTTCAAAAATTTTACCGAACTTAGAGGAAAACGCAGTAATTGTGTTGGATAATGCGCCTTATCATTCTCGAAGAATGGAGAAGGTCCCAACAACGGCTTCAAGGAAAGTTGATGTTCAAAATTGGCTCCGCTCGAAAAATATCAACTTTGAAGAAGCAATGCTGAAAGTACAATTATTAAGAATTGTCAAGGATCACAAGGCGGAATATCAAAAATACGCCATTGACGAAATGGCAGCAAGTCAAAATAAAACTGTGCTCCGTTTACCTCCATACCATTGCGAGCTCAATCCCATTGAGCTCATATGGGCAGAGGTTAAAAATTATATAGCTAAGCACAATACAACGTTTAAATTTTGTGACCTCAAAGGACTTTTCAAAGAAGCACTAGAATTAATAACAGCGCAAAAAATGGGAAAACTGTATTAAGCACGTGAAAGACAAAGTTGAAAAGAGAATGTGGGAACTGGACAATATTTTAGAGGAACAAGTCGAGCCATTCATTATTGACGTTGGTGCTTCAGGCAGTAGCGATGATGAAAGCTCATCAAGCTCATCTTTCCAATAAAAGATGTCGTTCATCAAATTCGGTAAGTTATAAGTAATTATAAAGCTACTGTATTTTTTAATTAATTATTGACATTTTTGAACCCATTTTGGCAAAACCTATTCAAGAATCTACTTTCTGACAATGTTCAACCATGCACATTTTTTTACGTTTTGAACGTTTTAATTTGGTTACATATTTACCTAGAAATCAAAAAATATACTAATCAATATTCTAAAAGCAATTTTAAGAGATATACGATTATTTTTAATTTAGGCTAATTTAAACGCCATTTTGAGATTATATTCGACTGTATTTCACCAAACATCAGGCGGCATCCGAAGCTGGAAATCGAAGCGAAAATTTTGAAACCCTTATGTATATTTACATCATTATATATTTCTTACCCCACCCCCACATGATCCTATATCCATCACCAATCGTATACACATCGAATTGTGCTAATTTACTACAAAGTTACGCAAAGCAGCATCTACTATCTAAAATATGTACTGCGTGACTCTTAATACGTCCCTACCGAATGTTACAGCGTTCGATGATCACGTGGTCTTGTTTATGTCCGGTCTATCTCTTATCTGAATATACTGTATGTAGAAATGAAAATATTTTCCAAGTAAGGAGAATACACCATGCGTAATAACGGACGGTATGACGTATTTAACAGTTTGATAATTGAGTGCAACATTAATCTCAAGTTAGGTGGCGCGTATGTTGCGACACCTGCATACCTATATCCATAATATATGGAAGACTGAAGATGAAACTATTCACATAACAAACCTCTACATGGGGCCACACATCTATCATCAGAATATACTGTACAACACCTTATAGCTTGGTAATGAGACATTTATGACCTTTGTTTCTAAGAACTGTTTTGTCGGAATAAGACAGCACAAAGCGCCACCTACTACCATAATCAACCACTGTGAGAGTGAATAGCAGCAATCGGTCTGATAACCCAGTCACCATTGTGACCGCTAGATGTGGTCTACTCGCTTTCACTGTTTCGTGCTTTTTGGCAGCTCGTCAGCATGGTCTAAGCTTCGTCTCAGACGAACAACGAACGAAAGCTCAGCTCAGTTCAAACCCATAGCTGCCATTTAATCTCGGAGGGGTCGATTTTGTTAATAAAAGTTGGCGCTTTGTGCTTACTTCGATAGATCTCATACCTCAGATGGAGGATATTTGCTATGCTTTCGTTTGTTGCCCACCCTGTATACTATCTTTCGACTGTTGCCACAGGTTATCAGAGTTCCTTTTTTGTCATTGAGAAATTCCGAGAAATAAGGAATCTTATGAAATAATTACGAGCGAAGTTTGAGCGATGATCTTTCCTTGGAAGGTTGATGTCATGTTTAACAATAAACAACTTTTTTTAAAAGGACAGTACGCTCTGCTTCAGATACTTGAAATTCTTGGCAACACGGCTGTGACGATGGAAATTGTATGTAAACATCCAAAGTCCAAAGGTCAAAATATAGTATATGTTTTGGCATCTTCTTCGAGAATACATTAATCAATAGTAGCGCTCGACACTTAAGTAGCGACTAAAAATCTAAGCCCTAATGTTATACTTGATAGTATGTTAGTATTACCTCCTAACAAGGCATAAAGCAAGTTCAACGCTGTAACGCAGAGGTTCAGACTTTTGGGCAGTGCGTATTGTAAGCTGACATGTGACAGTAGTTGAATTCCAAAAATTTGTTTGTTCAGGCTCGGCTGCTGCATCAGCTCATGTAAAAAATCCAAGCAAATGTGCATCGATGGAACTCCTTTGATCACGACTTCGAGGAGTTCACTGGGATACGTCTGAAAAAGAAAGTATCCGTAAGAATGTATGTATGTATAGTCAACGCCAAACAAAGTGGCGTGCACGTCATCACGATAAAAATTCCCCGACCTAATGCCTAGGTTTCTATCACAAACAATTGCTCTATTGCAGTTTCATATTAATGTGATATATAAATTGTAAAATGGTCATTACTCTCTTATTATGGTTAATAGTCATATAAACATTGTTATTAAAATATCACATAAGTTGCTTTCTGATAAATTTAGACGCATTATGCGAAATAAAATGTTTTGCAAACGCTCCAATCACTTATCGACATGTAAACGCACTAAACCGATTTCGCAGCGTTGACACATTGTCACCTTGAAACTTATTTAAACTGGGAACTGACATTTGTATTAATTTTGACACTGAATCAATTTGTGGCATTTCAAATCTTTATAAATCCTTTGGCCCCGCATACTGTAAATCAACAACTGTTTGTTTCAAAACAAAATTATTCATTTTACGAGTAGATAAAGGCAATTTTGGTATATAAAGATGCCCAAACAGTTAAATAGTCGGTGTAAGGAACTCGTGGCCCCGTTAATGCACTACTTTGAGCAAGAAAGGGACAACAACGGGCCTTTGTTGCCTTTAAATGCTGTTCAAGAGGTAGGTTACTAATAATTATATGTAATGTATATTAATAATAGTGAAATTTTATTTCATTTTTTTGTAGCGTGTTGCTGCTGCTTTAAAAATTAGTTTAAGGACAGTTAGTCGTATTTCCGAGGGTGTGAAAAGTGATGCAAATTTAGAATCGCCCAAGAAAAAGCGGAGTTATATTAAACGTGTAACCAACACAGCGACATTGGATACAAGTGCCATTCGAGAAGTGATCTATAATATGTATCACAAAAGTAAGATCTTATTATAATAACTTATCAGAAATTTGCATTAATTTGTTAACTAAATTATAATGTCATATTACACATGGTTTCAGAAGAACAAGTTACGATACAAACTTTATGGTCTCGATTAAGAGATAGGGCATTATTTGATGGTAGTGCCACGTCTTTAAGTCGGTTGCTTAGAGATCTTGGATTTAAGTGGCTTAAGGACAATCCGCGACGAGGGCTCATGGAACTACCAAGTATAGCTTTGAAAAGGGTGGAATTTCTAAGGCAATACAATCAAGCCAAGGTTGAGGCCTTATACCAGTTTGTCTTCCTCGATGAAACTTGGATATTTCAAAATGGGACCATAGGTCGCTCTTGGCAAAATGGAAACCAAAATAGCGTGAAAGCTATTAAAACAGATGGTAAAAGGTATGTACTTTTACACAATTTGCACTATAAAATTTAATACTAATATATTTTAGATACATTATATTACATGCTGGAAATGAAAATGGGTTTATTGAGGGTAGGGAAGCGATATTTTCTTCGAAAACAAAATTGAGCGATTACCATGGAGAGATGAACCAGGACAATTTTTTGAAATGGTTTCAACATCAGTTATTAGAAAAATTGGAGAGTCCATCTATGATTATACTGGATAACACCCCTTATCACAGCATGATATTGAACAAAGTGCCCAACAATGCATGGACAAAAAAAAATATCCAAGACTGGTTGACAAATCAAAACATACCATTTTTAAACACAATGTTTAAAACAGAGCTATTGAGTATTGTTGCTCGGTACATAATGCTTGTTAATTATATATATTTTGGTCGACAGTTTATATTTCTTTTGTTTATTCCTATTCTTAAAATAACTGCTTTTTTAGAAACAAACCACCTAAAATATACGTGATTGATGAATTGGCGGAACAACATGGGCACAAAGTTCTTCGTCTGCCTCCTTACCATTGTATATTTAACCCTATTGAGTTAATTTGGGGCATAGCAAAAAGTTACTATAACAGACATATTGGTAGAGATGGTAACAGTGAAAAAGACTGTTTGGATATGTGGAACGAGGCTCTACAAACGGTTACCCCAGACATGTGGAAAAATAGTGTTCGACATACTGAGCAAGAAATTTTTAAATGGTATGAAAGAGAACGAATTTTTGATCGACCAGACATCGAACCTTTAATAATCAACTTTGAGAGTGATGAAGATTCAGATTCAGACAGCGCTGAAGAAAGAAAATCCGACTAACTTTATTGTACAGAAAAAGCTTACACCAGTAGCTTACCTAATTTTAGAATGCATTTTTCTGTATGAATTCTGTAAAATAAATACCATGCATAAAATTTGGAGGACCCCATTTGGATTTTTATTCAGTACCTTTAAGCTATCAATTAAATATGGTAGTTTCATAGTGTCATCTGATCAATAATTGTCATACTTAATGATTATGCAAGTACAGATCTATAATTTTATTATACTATTATTTTTGTTCTCATTTGAGGTTAATATTGCTTATAAACCTAGATATGTAAATAATAAATTTTATTATTTTACAAAAAGTTTGGCAACAATGTAAATTTTTCAACACACCCACCTTGATGACGTGCACGCCACTTTGTTTGGCGTTGACTATACGTATAAATGTAAAAATCTGGCGCGTCTGAAAGCTCATTTCCTGGATAAATCGGCTGCGCAAATTTCGAATCCGAATTATACAGGTTGTTTCAAATTCGACCCTCACCATTGGGATGTCGGAAACTGTAAGAGATACGAAGTCGCTTCTAAATGTTGCGAATTTAGGTATTCAACAAAATGCCGCTCGGAAAATTTCGAAATTCAAAGAGAGAGAGATGGAAAAAACTGAATTTTCCCAAAATCGTCTTAATTTCGATATGACTTTTCGTCTCTTGTCCTCCATCATCAACTTTATTTTTTCTTTTCTCAGATGAATAGTTTTTAATTCTGATCACAAAAATGTACCTTTCGTCATACATTGGCATTGTCAAATTTTGCTTAATTCAAAAAAAGCAGAATTTGCTAGCTAGGCCTTGAAATTATCAGATTTGCATTTGTTTGGCATATCAGATTTATCCCAAAATCACATTTATCTTTTCCTGGCTTCATTCGAGGAGAAATTTCAAAATAAATTGCATGTTGTCATTGTTACTTATTCTCCTTTGCAAAATGTAATAACCAACTTTGTTTTTTCTATCGATGCTATATTGGAATTTCGTACATTTAAATTGACCTTCCAGTCCTAAATTCAGTATTGTATTTCTTTAGTTGGCCACGAATTTGTTCTTGGATAAAAATTATGAGGAAATAAAAAGGTATAGTAAAACCTGAACACAACATAAAATTTTTATTGATGGCAATAACAATAAGAATCATAAATAAGCAGAGATAAATCATAGCAGATGTTCAAAATGTCTGTAATTGTGTAGGCAAAGCCTGACTCTTCGCTGTACATTGTTCACTGCTCGATTTATTTCTCTTAATAATAATAATAATAATAATATTTATTTACTCTAAAATACAGGGAACATGAAACGAGTAAATAAATATAATATATCCATAGGAGGACAACGCCTGTGCATGGATCATATGTATTGTTGAATTGCAAAATATAATAAAATAGAGAGAAAAAAGAAATTATTGGTAAGAATGGTAGAGCATTTATTGTGTAATATTTGAGATTATTTTATTAATTTGATTTCTCCCAATCGTGTTAATAAATTTTTTTAATTTTTTTTTTTGAAGCCTAATGTATTGCGTAATTGTTTTAAATTATTTGGTAAATGTTCGTACAATTTTGGAGCTATATACAGGTGACATCGTTTCATTACGGATTTGTTTGGTTTAGGAACATTTTTTGCGCGTAATTTATATCTGGTTTTATGATTATGTTTAATTATGTCGTGTTCACTAATAGTTTTGTGATAATGAGTGATGGTATGTAAGAAGTAAAGTTGTTTAGTATCATATACTTGTGCATCATTATATAAGTCATTAGTTGGGTATAATTTTGATTTGCCTAACATTGATTTTGAAGTATGTCGTGCATGCAGCACCCCACACTACTATACCATATGTTATGTGTGGCTCGACTAAAGCTTGATATATTATTCGTAGATAATATTCAGTTAATATACCGGTTAGAAATTTTATTTTATATGCTATGAATCTAATTTTCTTTAGTATGTGAGAAATATGTACATCCCATCTCAAGTGGGGATCTAGATAAATTCCTAAATATTTTGTATCATTAACTCTATTGATTTTTATATTTTTATCATTTACCTTAAACCGAACGTGGTTATATTTTGGTAGATGATTAGATAGTGATGAAAATGGTAAAAAATGAGTTTTAGTAAAGTTAATTGTTAATTTTCGGTTATTAAACCACTGAATAATTTTGCAAAAGTCATTTTGGATAATATCTTTTAAGTCGTTCCAATCCTTACCTTTATAGAGTATAGCAGTATCGTCTGCAAAACTGACTATTTTACCAGTACTGTTAATTTTGAATATATCGTTTAAATAGATATTGAATAACAGAGGACCCAAAATTGTACCTTGTGGAACACCACATTTAACAAACATTTCTTTACTATACGAGCTTAATAATTTTACTGATTGCGGTCTATTTGATAAATAATTTTCCATTAAAGTATACATCTTTCCACGAAAAGCTATTCTTTCTAAGATTTCCAAAAGTATATTGTGGTTAACTGTATCAAACGCCTTCTTAGTTTTTTTAAATTCGGTTGATATGTTGAACTTGAGGTCTGGTATACGAAACAAATGAAATCTGATAATTTCAAGACCTACCTAGGAAATGTTGTTTTCCTGAAATAACTAAGGTTTCGCAATGTCAATGTATGACATATGACACATTTTTGAAATCAGAATTAAAAACTCTATTCAAATGACGGAGCATCATATTGAAATTCTAAAGATGCCATCTTGTAGAGGAGAAAAAGTGGCAATGTTAATGAGCAATTTATTTTGACACCCCACTACAATTAAAGTTAGGAAAAAATTGAATTCCGTCTCTCTCCGGAAGTACTGAATTTTGGAACTTCCTATGCGGCATTTTGTTGAATACCTAAATACGCAACTTTGCACCCATTTAAATGACTTCGTATCTCTTTCAGTTTGCGAGATCCCAATGGTGAGGGTCGAATTTGAAACACCCTGTAAATTAATATAAATAAAACAAAATTTATAACTTTTAAATGTTCCACCCTTGTTTAATTAGTTTAAGTAAGTAATAAACTGATACATAAAAAAAACAGCATCAAGTTTTTAGGTGTGACCATTGACCACAATTTAAATTTTACCAATCATGTATATCTATTAATCACTCAGCTGGAAAACATTTCCTATATTATAAGAACAATTAGTTACAACGTTGGGAGAAACACATCATTAATCAGCGTATTTGAAAGTAGATTAAGTATTCCCTTTTGGGGTGTTCGTTCTCTCAATAGCTTGAAAAAGGTACTCATATACAGAAATGAACTATTAGATATATATACTAAGTGACATATAAATCCGAACACCCAGTTTAAATGGTTTTATTTTAATAAAATTTTGAATAAGTACTTAATGAAGCATAATAAGTAAATGATAAAAATTTCAAAATGATTTCACTGCTTTAAAGCCCTTTGACCTGTAATAATGTGTGGATGCACCCTGATGTGCTACGCATTCTCCAACGCGCCTAGGCATGCTTCTGATCAGGTGGTCAATGTCCTCCTGTGGTATCTCATTCCAGGCAACCACCAACTCCTCTCGAAGTGCTTCTAGAGTCTGAGGAGGACGTTGCAAATTGACCAATCTCCTACCCATCATATCCCACACGTGCTCAATTGGGGATAAGTCGGGAGATCTTGGTGGCCATGGTAACAATGTGACATCATTATGTTGAAAGAAGTCTATTGTGACTCTTGCAACATGTGGTCGGGCATTATCTTGTTGGAAAGTTGGATCTGCCAGGGTGTCAAGATAGGGTAAAAGATGGGGTTCTAGAACTTCGTGGATATAACGCTGCGCGTTCATGTTACCTCTGATGAAGATTAAAGGTGACCTGGAACCATAAGCTATAGCACCCCAAACCATAACTCCAACAGTGTGATGAACATGTCTTTCAACAAAAAACTGTGGATTCCTCCTATCACCACGTCGCTTTTTAACCCTGGCACGACCATCGTGCATGCCTAAACAAAATCGAGACTCGTCACTAAAGACAATACTGTTCCATTCCTGATCCCAGAGTGACCGTTGTCTGCACCACTCAAGGCGATTACGTCGGTGTTCTCGAGTTAAAGGGAGAACCCAGTGTGGCCGGTATGAAAACAAGCCAAAACTTCTCATTCGTCGGCAAACACTTCGCATGCCAATAGGTCTTCCGTGTTCTGCAAACCATTCATTTGCAATGGACCTGATAGTGGAGAAACGGTCCCTTAAGGCCAATAATCTTAGGCGGCGATCTTCACGGTCTGTTGTTCTACGGCGGCGTCCAGTGCTCCTTGCTCTTTGCGTACGGCCTTCTCGAAGCCATGCCTGACAACACCTAACCACAGTGTCTACACTTCTTTGCACTCTAACTGCAATTGCCCGAAAAGAAAGTCCAGCTTCCCGAAGTCCCACTATAGGACCCCTATCAAACTCACTAAGTTGACGAAATCGTACAGGTCTCCGTACTCTAGGCATCGTAACCGATCGTAAAGGATGTCAAAAACCAAAAACCGCCAACGTTGATTCTTTACTGCGGCTGAAATATTCATTTTTAGAGCGTTAGTGAATTAAAAAAAAAGCAGTATAAAAACCGGGATGTCCAACTGATAAGGCTGAACATTTTTTCACTTGTTATTTACAGTAAGATAAATACATTCACCAGCTTTTATTAAAATAAAACCATTTAAGTTCGGTGTTCGGATTTATATGTCACTTAGTATATAAATCTAAATTTGAAACATATATTGAACAAAAGCAAGATTTTAAATTAATATAGTATGAAAAATATATTGAACAAAAGCAAGATTTTAAATTAATATAGTATCAAAAATAACATTAGTGAGGGATTCAATGACTTTTAAAAGTCTGAAAATCTTCATTTACCTTCTTCTTGATAACAAAAAAAACAATATAAAGATATTCCGCCATAAACATAAACACATGCTAATAAATACACATATGTAAATTTCTTATATTTTGGTTCATATTATTCAGACTGTAAACCACATTAATCTATCTATTCTCTGTCCCAAACCCCCGATCAAAAAACGTAAGATCACAAAATTAAAGAATCCTTCCACGACTCTGGCTTGACTGTTTTTTTTGTTTTTTCGCGTATCGGGTGAGTAAATTCAGAACCTCATGCTAATTTAGCGTTAAGATAAACGGGTGGGCCCAGACGGTTCATTTTTGTCCCAAATTCGACCCAACGATACTTGAACTTCCGCGATCATAATCTAAATCGGCGTCCCAAATTACCTAATTCTACAGAGTTTTGCTCATATGTAACCATCGATAACGAAAAAGTATTTTAAGCACATTTAATAAGTTGTAATTTTCACTAGATAATGTAAATCATAAACGGGACCGGAAACATTTAGAGTAACTTCACTAATTTATAGATAAACAGGATCAGATACATGCGAAATAACTTCGGATTCTGTTTAAGCGACCCAAAATACGTACGATAGAGGTCATTTGAACCGCATTTGAAACATTTTTATTTTTAGTGACCATGTCTAACGGATATTACGTTACTGAAAGTGTCAAAATGGTCAACCACGATTATTATACCTTCTGAGTCGCTGAAACAAACCAGAGCCCATTCAGTCCCGTAATGCCCCGTTTTTGAGACATGTGCAAAAAATCTAATTGTTATGAAATGTAATAAATTATAAAACATGCAACGATCATTTTACCTGGAAATGCACCAGTTTGCACAACATTGTGTCAGCAATGAAGGCTTGGTGCAAGTAACTGCACACCAGCGATCGCACTTCTTGTAGAGCCCACTGGCGACCTGGGATCTTCTTATCATCCTGAGTCTCTGAACAGGTCTCTATCAGCATTTGAATGGCTGCAGATTCCTGAAAATTTGGAAGTAGAAGAAAAATCGTAGTTGTGGCGGGATTTAAGCCCAAACCTCTGCTATGCATCTTCCAATTACGCTTCGTTACGGCTTAACGCAGCTTTTAAATATAAAATACAGGTTTAAAATGCTGCGTCTAGTATTTACTTCCTCAATAGGCCCCTTTCGAAAATAATGATAATAATAATGTTTATTGTCACAAAATACAGGTAATTATTAAATATTGTGTACAATAAACATAAGGCATCCAAAAAAGTTTGCATTTGTGTTTGGGTTTGTTAAAAATAAATACTAAAAGTACAGTCAGTGTTTGAAAAACGTAAATACTATCTAACTTGGCAAATTGAATTATTATGGGGATGTCGGGAAAAATATCAAGACAATTAGAACTAAAGTAAAAGTATGGATGTTAGTGTAATCTACGATTTCGTGGATGGAGCATCTTCGTTGTTGTAAAATCCATTTTTTGAGTTCTTTTCTAAATGTTCTAATTGATTTAATCGCTTTCAATGACTCTGGTATGAGGTTATAGAATTTTGGTCCCAAGAAAAACGGAGATCGTTGTGTAATAGTTTTTGATGATTGTGGAATACGCATTGAATTTTGATGGAAACTTGTTCGGTAGTTATGGATGGTATAATTCAAGTATTTCGAAAATTGAATAGCATGTATTAGACCACAATAAAAATAAATTTGTCTGCAATCTAATAGTTGACTCTCCATATATAGACAATGACTTGAATAAGTAATATCCTTATGAAGGATCAATTTTAGAATTAATTTTTGTATTACATCAACCTTTTTGTAATTGTTATTCATAACTCCCCCAAGCCAAAATTCCTTAAAGTAATAGAGGATAAACAAGAGCATTATAAATATATAGATATTTCTTATCCAGAATATCTCCGAGTCTCTGAACAGGTCTCTATCAGCATTTGAATGGCTACAGATTCCTGAAAATTTGAAAGTAGAGGAAAAATCGTAGTTGTGGCGGGATTTAAGCCCAAAACTTTGCTATGTATCTTCCAATTACGCTTCGTTAGGGTGAATACCGAATAGCTTAAATCAGCTTTTAAATATAAAATACAGGTTTAAAATGCTGCGTCTAGTACCTACTTCCTCAATAGGCCTCTTTCGAAATCAATGATAATAATAATGTTTATTGTCACAAAATACAGGTAAATATTAAATATTGTGTACAATAAACATAAAGCATCCAAAAAAGTTTGCATTGGTGTTTGGGTTTGTTAAAAATAAATACTAAAAGTACAGTCAGTGTTTGAAAAACGTAAATACTATCTAACTTGGTAAATTGAATTATTATGGGGATGTCGGGAAAAATATCAAGACAATTATAAGTAAAGTAAAAGTATGGATGTTAGTGTAATCTACGATTTCGTGGATGGAGCATCTTCGTTGTTGTAAAATCCATTTTTTGAGTTCTTTCCTAAATGTTCTAATTGATTTAATTGCTTTTAATGACTCTGGTATGAGGTTATAGAATTTTGGTCCCAAGAAAAACGGAGATCGTTGTATAATAGTTTTTGATGGTTGTGGAATACACATTGAATTTTGATGGAAACTTGTTCGGTAGTTATGGATGGTATAATTCAAGTATTTCGAATATTTCATAGCAAGTATTAGACCACAATAAAAATAAATTTGTCTGCAATCTAATAGTTGACCCTCCATATATAGACAATGACTTGAATAAGTAATATCCTTATGAAGGATCAATTTTAGAATTACATCAAACTTTTTGTAATTGTTATTCATAACTCCTCCAAAGCCAAAATTCCTTAAAGTAATAGAGGATAAACAAGAGCATTATAAATATATAGATATTTCTTATCCAGAATATCTCTGAGTCTCTGAACAGGTCTCTATCAGCATTTGAATGGCCGCAGATTCCTGAAAATTTGAAAGTAGAGGAAAAATCGTAGTTGTGGCGGGATTTAAGCCCAAAACTCTGCTATGCATCTTCCAATTACGCTTCGTTACGGTGAATACCGAATAGCTTAAAGCAGCTTTTAAATATAAAATACAGGTTTAAAATGCTGCGTCTAGTATCTACTTCCTCAATAGGCCTCTTTCGAAAATAATGATAATAATAATGTTTATTGTCACAAAATACAGGTAAATATTAAATATTGTGTACAATAAACATAAGGCATCCAAAAAAGTTTGCATTTGTGTTTGGGTTTGTTAAAAATAAATACTAAAAGTACAGTCAGTGTTTGAAAAACGTAAATACTATTTAACTTGGTAAATTGAATTATTATGGGGATGTCGGGCAAAATATCAAGACAATTATAACTAAAGTAAAAGTATGGATGTTAGTGTAATCTACGATTTCGTGGATGGAACATCTTCGTTGTTGTAAAATCCATTTTTTGAGTTCTTTTCTAAATGTTCTAATTGATTTAATCGCTTTTAATGACTCTGGTATGAGGTTATAGAATTTCGGTCCCAAGAAAAACGGAGATCGTTGTGTAATAGTTTTTGATGGTTGTGGAATACACATTGAATTTTGATGGAAACTTGTTCGGTAGTTATGGATGGTATAATTCAAGTATTTCGAATATTTAATAGCATGTATTAGATCACAATAAAAATAAATTTGTCTGCAATCTAATAGTTGACCCTCCATATATAGACAATGACTTGAATAAGTAATATCCTTATGAAGGATCAATTTTAGAATTAATTTTTGGATTACATCAACCTTTTGTAATTGTTATTCATAACTCCCCACAAACCAAAATTCCTTAAAGTAATAGAGGATAAACAAGAGCATTATAAATATATAGATATTTCTTATCCAGAATATCTCCGAGTCTCTGAACAGGTCTCTATCAGCATTTGAATAGCTGCAGATTCCTGAAAATTTGAAAGTAGAGGAAAAATCGTAGTTGTGGCGGGATTTAAGCCCAAAACTCTGCTATGTATCTTCCAATTACGCTTCGTTACGGTGAATACCTAATAGCTTAAAGCAGCTTTTAAATATAAAATACAGGTTTAAAATGCTGCGTCTAGTATCTACTTCCTCAATAGGCCTCTTTCGAAAATAATGATAATAATGTTTATTGTCACAAAATACAGGTAAATATTAAATATTGTGTACAATAAACATAAAGCATCCAAAAAAGTTTGCATTTGTGTTTGGGTTTGTTAAAAATAAATACTAAAAGTACAGTCAGTGTTTGAAAAACGTAAATACTATCTAACTTCGTAAATTGAATTATTTTGGGGATGTCGGGAAAAATATCAAGACAATTATAACTAAAGTAAAAGTATGGATGTTAGTGTAATCTACGATTTCGTGGATGGAGCATCTTCGTTGTTGTAAAATCCATTTTTTGAGTTATTTTCTAAATATTTTAATTGCTTCTAATGACTCTGGTATGAGGTTATAGAATTTTGGTCCCAAGAAAAACAGAGATCGTTGTGTAATAGTTTTTGATGGTTGTGGAATACAGATTGAATTTTGATGGAAACTGGTACGGTAGTTAGGGATGGTATAATTCAAGTATTTCGAATATTTAATAGCATGTATTAGACCACAATAAAAATAAATTTGTCTGCAATCTAATAGTTGACCCTCGAAGTTGAGTCATTTATTTTAACAGTGAGTAGATCTGATCAAAAGAAATGTTTTTTTCCTTTAACATTTTTCTGGTAAAATTAAAGTAACAAAGTTATAGCCCTTTAGAAGTTTGAGTACCGCCCTGTCTCAACAATAATATTATGTGCTCGTGTTTGGCAACAACGGATATAATCCGCTTAATCGGTTCATGGCATCGGAAACAAAAAAGCGAAAGAATTTGAAACGCTTCTCACGATGTTTTATTCAGTTGTATTTAGTCAATGTGTCAGTCGGTAACGCGTGAGTGAATAGTGGAGTTTGTTGCGTGGCTCAAACGAAATAAAAAATGGCACATGTTTACGAAAATGCTGAATGTAGTACAGTACAAAGGGCTCGTGAATCAGGTGACTTAAGACCTCACAGGGGATGGCATGCCGGTGCTCCAAGACCGCACGATCAAATACAGGTCCGCACTGAAATACTTGTCGGGAGGATACTTTATAAAACAAGGTAACATTTTTTTTATTTTTACACACATATTTTGGTTTATCTTCCTTCAACAATCATTATCTGAAAATTAATGACTCAACTTCAAAGTCACCCTGTATAGACAATGACTTGAATAAGTAATATCCTTTTTTTTTTTTTTTATTTACATAAGCTGCATCAGCTAATTAGCTATTAGCAGCGGATTTAATGTGTACATGAATCAAATTTTATGTATTAAATTACAATGGCTCAAGAACAACATTAGATTTCGGACATTGCAGGTGGCTCCAATTATGTCTTTTAGAGTTTTACCACAGAGATTAAACTGATGTCTTTGTTGTTCGAACATTGGACACTCCACTAGAATGTGTTTTACCGATAAAACGCTTTCACACATAAAACACATTGGTTCAGGGTCACGGGTGATGAGGTAGCTGTGGGTGATTCTTGTGTGGCCCAGTCGGAGGCGGGTTATTATCACTTGCAGTCTCCTTTTTTCTGTTACTGTTTGCAATTCGTTGAGCTTGGGTTTCACTTCTTGTAGCTTGGAAGGCTTGTTCCTCCACACACTATTCCACTGGTCTATTGTTTTGCCTTTTACATATACCTTCATATCTGATGCTGGAACTGGGAGGTTGCAGATGCTGTTGTTCGTTGCCGCTCTTTTAGCGTTTGTATCCGCTGTTTCATTCCCTGCTATTCCTTTGTGAGATGGAGCCCACATAAGTACTATAATCTGGTTATTGTTGGTGAGTTGAGTAATTGTTTCTTGTATTATCTTGGCTATCGGGTTTTTTGTATATAACTTATTGATGGAGTATATTGAGCTAAGTGAGTCTGTAATGATTATCCATTTTTGGTCAACGGTGCTTTCTATATATTTTAATGCTTCCAGAATCGCGTAAAGCTCTCCTGTCAGAGTA